TCCCTGGAGCGGGGCTGTAAGCTGCTATGCTTACAGTGACTTTGTGGTATTCCTTGGCTCCCTACTGCCGGCATACCTCACCATCCGAGATGCAATGCTTACAGGAAGGAAGGGGATAGGCGGAGCTCTCTACCCAGATGCCACTGGTGCCTGGCATCAGCGTGCCGGCAGCCAGCACCATCCTCTGAGTTCAATTTCCTCATCTTCAGAATGAGGGTGCCGGGTTCTGTTGGGGCTTATCAGAATTAAAGAAGAAGCTGACAGGGCCCTCTTCACATGGCCTCTGACCTCCCTACCCCTGCCCCACGCTCCTTGGGGTGCTGTTGAAAATACAGAAGAGAAGCCCTTTGGACCCGGGGTTGCTATGGCACCAGCATCCTGGCTCTGTGGTTTCGTTCATACTCATGACAGGGCCCTTTTCACACATCAGACCGTGTGTGTGGGCAGGATGTTTTCCAGCAAAGCTCATCCAGACCGGTTCCCTCTACATCCCCCAGTGTTCACGTTTGTAGCTTCATTTATCATAATTGTTTGTGTCCGCACAGCCATTGCTATGGTGACCAAAACCATTGGAATCTAAAAGCCAAGCTTGCTAAGTCAGACTGGATTTAGCTCTTTAAACCCGAATCAAATTTTCAATGAATTCCTACTATGCTGAGGATAGAGTACCTAAACCTTAATTCAGCCCATGAGGCCCTGCAGGGAACTCCTGCATCTCTTGTAGACCCTTCCCTCACCCCCCACGCCCCCATTCTCTGCAGAGCAGGGACAGAATGTCTCAGGACTGAACTCAGTGCACCAAAGTACCGAGTACTGCTGGCACAGTGATGCACAGGGCAGGGCATTTTGAATTATTTATCACTGCAGCGGCAACAAATGACACCCTTAAACACCAGGGGAAATGATGTGTGCCCCCCCTCATGGGGGCTCATGTAAGGGCATTGAACTTTTATACCCAGATGCTGCTCAAATTCTCCCTCTTCACTGCCAGCTCCACCCCCCCAAAAGGGGTCACCTGAGAGTTTCTTGGGAAGGGGGGTCGAACTTTTCAGGGTGGAATTTCCCAGGGTTGAGATCGGTGGGATTTCATATCCAGAGATTGGGCTTTTTACTCTGTAGGGTGGGGCCAGGGTCCAGCAGTCAGCGCAGCTAGAGTGTTCTGTGGGTGGAGGCTGGCAGTTAGAGGTCCTAGGGAAGGAGCCTGGCCACTCGTGTGTGGCTCCAGGGCCTTGAAATCTCTCCAGCCCCTTCCACTTCCCTTTTTTGAGATAGACTTTCTCAGTGAAGCTAGAGCTCGCCATTTTGGCTCGTGCGTGAGCTCCAAGGATTGCTTCATCTTTGCCCACCCCTGTCCCCCAGCGCTCCTCTGTGCCTGCTCTTTATGTGGTGAGGGGCTCAGGACTCAGGTCCTCAGGCTGGAGCAACAAGGGCCTTGCCCCCCCAGCCATCTCCCCTCCCCCTTGAACTCTTCTGGTCAAAGGACTCTGTGCCATTGTTTCTGCACATTAAACCAGCAGCTTTGGCGATCTTTCTGTGTGTGTACCCACCGGATTTGGCCCTATCAAGTTGTTAAATTCCAGATTGAGGCTCTGGTGCCCTCTTTCTGCTCCTCAGGTTTGACAAGCAGGAAAGGTGGTCACTGAGATGTCCCCAAACTCTCTGTACCATGTTGC